GGCCGGGCCTCCCGGCGGGCAGCAGCTCCCCAGAGCTGGGGCCACCTGCAGCCATGAGTGGCTTGTTTGGTGGGGCATGGGGATGGGGGAAGGGCAGCTTCAAACTTATTTAAAATAATTTGGAAATACAAATGTGCTTTAGGGGGGAGATACTTTTAAAAAGTTAGTTACATTCCCAGGCATGGGCAGATCTAGGAGTATGAAAAGGGGGGTGCAAATGATGTAGTGCATCATCACATATAGCACAACACACATTTTTTTTTCTCTAGGTAAAAAAGAAACTAGAAGATTTGCTAATATGCTAGGGGCTGATTCGGTTTAATACAGGAGCCAAAAATCCCAAAAAACCTTATTGGAATGTGTGCTAATTTGCTGTATCTTATATTATGGCTATATAACTAACTAGGCAAAAATAATCAATGTTGTTTCATTAGTCCTGTAGCTAATTAAATGTGCATCTTTTTCAGATTCATAAAACACAATCTCGCCTTCTCGAGCATCTTTACAGTTCACCTAATGCTTCCCTGAAAATTATTTCCACACCTGAGTTAATGTTACTTGCTAGAGTTAAAAACAGTCTGCAGGGCTGGGAAACAAGAGTTATCTTAGGAGGAACAGCTAACAGAAGAATTGCAGGAGAGAGGCTAGCTTGGAACCATTAAAGACCATTAAAAAGGAGAGAGGGTTGTTAACACTTGTGGAATGAAGAGTTTTGAAGGAATCGGAACATGAGGCATGAAGTCAGTTGACTCCCTCTCTGTTGCCTAACTAGAAATGCTGCTGCTGCCACTGCTAGGCAGTTGGTTTGAAACTTTGAACAGAGCAGGAATCAAATGGGGGTGCAATGGCACCAGTGTACCCCATGGATCTGCCCCTGCTCCCAGGAGGTTAGGGGAGACTGGAGGCAATCACTGTAGATAATACAGAATGTGATCAGATCTTTATGCACAAACCAAAACCTGTAAAATTATATCACTCTGGCTGCAACAGCTGCTGCCTCCCCCTGCATTCAGAATGCAGCGTTGTTTAGTGCGTGCATACTGAAAAACAATGTTATTGTATGAAGAGCGTTCTCTTACATCAGCTATACTTATCATGAACTATAAGGTGCTGGGGTGGGGGGCTGGCTAGTCCATAGGGGGGGTGTCTGTCTGGAAGTGGGGGGAGGGGTGCGAGGGGCTAAAAATAGTCCAGTGGCTGGGGGTGGTGGGGAAGAGAGACACAAGGCAAGAGCCCTGGGACTGCACTGTGAACTCTACAGAAGTTCAGTTAGGACAGTCTTACCAGACCCGATCTAAGTTAAACTACCTTGGAGGTACACTTAACTTATATTGATTGGGTTGTCCATTTTTTAACATGATCTAACCTCTACCTAACCTCCCCAAACATCTGTATATACCCTTAAGGAGACTGAGTGGAGCACTGGGAGGCAGCTGTGCAGTAACACAGCCTAGCACTTCAAGGTAGTGGGAGTCCTCCACTCTAAACAACACCTAGTAATGATTAACATTTTGTAAGGTTGGCCTCCTTGTGTATGCTTTAGCTTTCAATGGGTATGTTGTAAAAATGGCCTTTGACTGCTGCAAGTAAGTATATATTCAGTGTCAGAAATTAGTAAAAGTACAGGGCTTCTGTAGACAGACCAAATGCTCACTCATCTTAAAGTGTTGATAATTTCCTCAAACATTAGTTGATGCTTTAGAATGAGTCTGATGGTATTTTTTTAAACAAATACATAAAATTATTTTTTCTTTTTAAAGGGCCAGTAGCATAGCACTAACAGTTTTGATAATAGATAATACCACAAGCTTGCTGTTTAAAGCTAAATTCAATTGAGCTACACTTTCACATTCAAAAAAAGAGATTACAATTAACTAATATGATTGCTTATTGTTTCTCTTCAGCATGGAGAAGCTTGTTATGTGTCTGCACAGAAGGCCTGATGCAGTATACAGGCTGATTTGCTTTCCCTGGGCTGGAGGGGGAGCTTTCCATTTTGCTCAATGGAGCTCACTCTTCAACAGTTCAATAGAAGGTCAGTGATTTTTCAGGTATAATAAGTATCATTTAATAAACAGAGGATATCTAGATAGGATGCTAATGTGCTTGGTAGTCAGATATTAAATAAAATGTACCCAGTACTGTTAAAGAGAACTTTGTCATCTTTCTAATTACATTCAGAATATATGGGTCCCTTCCTGAAAAGTTCTTAAGATTTCCACTGGAGTCCTGAGTGCTCTCAACCCCCTTGTTCCCCTGTATGAACTCCAGGAGATGAATGGGTGCAATATATGAGTATAACTATTTTAGTTAAATTTCTTTCTCAAAGCTAAAGCAGGTTTGACTGTTTCAAAAGCAAGTCTGTTAACTGTCAGGTACAGTAGTTTGATCATCTATTCATAATTATTCATATAACAAAAATGTTCAAAAAGAAACATTTTAAGACGCGTTTCAGTAGGCTGAAAAGTGGCAGAGAATTTTCTTACCCCAAATGAATTAGTTATTTACATCTATCTGCATGCTTCTACATGCCTTGTATCAGAACCCAGGGTCACACAATGGCTTTGTAGGAGTAAACTGGCATTTAGTTACAGTTAAGTAATCCCTGTAGCTACCATAGTGCATCAGCATTGAAAAAGGTTCATAGGCAAATATCTGAGGAGGAGACCTAGTGGACCTTTGCCAGACCTTTCAGAAGAAAAGAAAATAATCTGGCACTAAGCGAGAAGATTAGCATTGAAACAATTCCAGTCTTCTAAACTATGAATACCTCCAGAGAATTGTTGTGCAAGTCACATCCAGTTCTCCTTGAAGTAAAAGAAAAGTCTTGTTTCAGATGGAAATACTTCCAGGAAAGTTACTAGGGATGTAGGCTTCAGAACAATTGTAGGCTCTTTTGAATAAATGCACTTGCTCAGCATGTACGTTCAGAACTGTTTTAACCATGCTAAAAGAAATTATAAAAGCCTGAAGAAGTGTTTTTTCCCACCTCCCTTGTGGTGGCTTGCCTTAAATATGGTACTTTTCTGTTCTTGGTATGTGTTACCCCCTGCTTCTATATGATCTTTCCAGTCTGTCAGAAGAAAAGGTTAGTAAAGGACAATAGATTTTTGCAGATTAGTCCAATGTTCAGTTTTCCTGAAGAAAGGGGCAACAATCCAAATGTGAAGACTCAGCTTTTGAAAAGGACATTAAGTCATGTCAGTAAATGCCATGTTCCCAGGTTTTACTATGTGTAAAACTGAAAAGTCTGCAAATAAGGAAGTCTGTACTCATGGGCAGTACTAATAAGTTATCAGTATGCTTTGTAATTCTCGAAAAAAGGAAGATATTTTATAGACAATTTTAATACTTGATACTGTTTAAGAATGTACTTATTTGTTATTTATATTATAGTACCATCTGCAGGCCCAAACTGAGATCAGAGGCCCCATATGTTAGGCATGTGTACCTACTAACATGCAACTACATGTAACAATTGAACCATGCCCAAATGTCACTAATTGGGAATCAGTTCACAATTGTTAGAATAGTTTTCTCTTTAGATGTTTAAGCGCTGTGGCTCTGACACTAGGGGATGGAAGTAGGCACCCAGTCCAGAATGCCTTAGCTAAATGGGCAAATTGGTGGGAAGTGCTTCCATGTTTTGAGGGTCCCAGGGGGTGGGTGACCTATGGCTGGTGGTGTTTTCACTTTTCTGCTTTCCTTTCTCTCCTAAACATGAATTCAGTAAAGTTTCAGCAATTGACCAAACCCCACAGTGTGCTTGCCTGTCTTGGGGTGGCTAGTAGGGGCAGAGGGGGAGTGCTTGGAACCATGGTTTAGGGTTGCCAGGAGCTGGGAGCAGGGCATGATGAGGGGCTACAATCAAATAAGAAGTGAGAACACCACTGCTAATTAGAAATATAGCTTCTATTGAGCAGGCAGTTCAAGGCAGCTCATTGACAAAAAGTACCAACAGAAGGGTAAAAAGGGGCAGTGGATTTCTGGCCATGTACCAGAGCAGCCAGTTGCAGCAGTGGTGGGTGAGTGGGTAGGGGAGAATGAGGGTGAGGACTGATGTGATGTAGGGTTCCTGGAGGACCAACCAAACTGTAGTGGAGCACTTGGAATCCACAGATAACACATACCTAGTTCACTGGGCACCAGTTTGAAATAGTATCTGATTTTACAGGTATACATTAGAATCATTCCAAGTCAGAGTTTGGGATTGAGGATTGGTCATGTCCTCTTTAAATGTATTGTTTTAAATTGCTGTCACCAACTGGTATAGAGGATGTGCTGGTGGGAAGGATGAAGGCAACCCGTTGTGAACTAGACCCATACCCTCCACCCCCACCTCCTGCCCCAGCTTGTAAAAGCTAGCCAAGGAAGATTGGGACGACTGCCAGCGGGGGTTGTCAGTGCCTCTTTGAGGGAGAGCGGGGTGCCAGACATTCTTAAGTTTGCAATTATCCAGCCCCCTACTTGAGAAACCATCACTTGACACTGACTCTCCAGCCAGTTATTGCCCTGTATCCAACCTCCTATTTTGGGGGATGGTCACTGAATGCAGGGTGCAGGGGTTTCATAGATTTCATAGACATTAGGGCTGGAAGGGACCTCGGAAGATTGAGTCCAGCCCCCTGCCCAAAGGGCAGGAAGTCAGCTGGGGTCATAGGATCCCAGCAAGATAAGCATCCAGTTTGCTCTTGAAGGTGTTCAATGTAGGCACTTGAACCACCTCCGGTGGCAGGCTGTTCCAGACCTTGGGGCTCGGACAGTAAAGAAATTCTTCCTTATGTCCAGCCTGAAACGGTCTTGTCGTAGTTTATGACCATTCGACCTAGTCGTCATCCCTTGGGGTGCTCTGGTGAACAAACATTCCCCCAGATACTGGTGGTCACCCCTGATAAACTTGTAGGTGGCCATCAGATCACCCCTGAGCCTGTGCTTTTCCAGGCTAAAGAGCTCAAGGGCTCTCAGCCTGTCATCGTAGGGTCTGCTTCCCTGACCTCTGATCATGCGCGTGGCTCTTCTCCGGACTCTC